TCCTCATTCCTGTAACTGAAGGAGCTGTCAGCTGCCATTAACCCAGCCGACCACATCACTGTGTTTCTGCAGCCAACCTCCTGCTCACTGAGGATCCTCTGCCCTGCTCTGCATTGCTCTGTCACATCCAGCCATTGCTCGCTGCTGTGAACAAATGCTTTCTTTAAGCCACCACAAAGGAATGCCAACGGTTACTGGTCAACTGGGTCCTGCCGGACAAACCCGATTCAGTTAGAGGAGAATGTGGGTAACGTTTTTTTGTTTTTGTTTTGTTAGATTTTTGTACATATACCTACTCAAAAAGAGAAAATAATAACAATAATGTATCTATATTTTAAAATACAGACATATTTATATTTTAATAAGAATATTATGGATCGTATGAGACCTCTGATTTACTTTGAAATTCACTTTTCTCCCTGACTTAAATTTCCCCTTCCCAGCACCAAATGCTGCTGGCACGGTGGAGTAGTGGTTAGCACTGTTGTCTCACAGCAACAAGGTTCTTGGTTTGAACCTTCCGTTCGCCTGGGGCCTTTCTGGAGTTTGCATGTTCTCCATGTCGCTGTGTGGGTTCTCCTTGTCCAGGTACTCAGCATTCTCCCACAGTCCAAAGACATTACAGGCGTAAAAGGTTGACTGCCTCTCTGTGTTGGCCCTGCGACCCATCCAGGGTTTACCCTGCCTTGACCTGTGACAGCCGGGAAAGGCTGCTAGTCTCTGTGACCCTGAATTGTACAAGTGGTTAAGAAAATGGATGCGTCAAAGCCTCTCCATTTTAGCTCAAAAGAACACAGAGCTCAGGCTGTACCCAAGACTCGGGTACAGAGGCTCTCTTTTTTTTGCCCCCACCACCAAATAACAGGAATGCACATAAGAGCTTCCCTCCACCCCCCTACTCCTTTCATAACTCAGCTCTCATTTGGCGGTTTAATTAGGCTTTACCTTGTTTGAGGCTGCTGGAGCGAGAACTTCTGGGGAAGCATGTGAAAACAGGGGGGGTCACTTAACCCATTTGGCTGCAGAACTCTCTGGACCAAGTCTGCGGCTCAGTAGAGTCACAGAGCAGGTAATTAAATATAAAAATAGTTTTAGTTTTATGAGCTTAACTGGTCTTTCTCCTCCCCAATCTAACACTTTTGGGATGAAGCAAAAGGCCAATCATCACCCAACAACTGCTGGACCACACTAATGCTCTTCACTCAATAAAATCCCTGCAGCCAGATGCAGATCCAGCTGTGCTTTCCCATAAGACTGGATATTGTCTTTTAATTTAAAATTTAAAACCAATTTAAAAAGAAAAATAATAATTAAACACCTTCAACATGTGAGAAGCATTTTTAAGCCAGGGCTCACAAACTGAATGTTTTGTATTGCCTTAAACTAACCAGCGGGCTAGCTTAAAAGACACTGTTATTATTCTTCACCGCCTCAATGTTTCACCATCCTTGGAGTTTGTAGTTTTAAGCCTTTTTTTAAATATAAGCTGCAGCCAATGAGTTATAAAGAACTATAAAGAAACCTCTAAAAAGAGGTTTCTTTATAGCTATTATCTGAAATCAAAGCTGTAGTTATAGTCAGCTAACCCAAAGTGAATGTAGTTAACAGGGATTACGTACCCTACTGATGGCCTGTTATGATAGAAGAAATTACTAGAAGATAAGCTTGATGTCAAAAAGGAGAGACCTTTCCGATGCCACAATGGTTCTGACCAGATACAAGCTGGGAAAATTGACCTAAACTGAACTTTTTTAAGTTTTCTTTGGTGAAATATCAGAAAACAGATCTGACATCCAGGCTATGAAAGCTTGTGTCTGTTCCTCTGTTGAAACTATGATCTATCCCACGATATTGATCAAATCTGAACAAACATGAGATTTAGATGAATTTGGATTTAGACTATAAAACTGCTTTTCTTGCAGTTTTTGACAGCTCTTTTTACTTTTAGCTTAAATGTGTTTTTATGTGGTTCTCTGCCACACTTACAAAGTTGTGAGGGTTTCAAAAATATAGGGAAATGGTTGATTCACCACATGTGAAGGAACATAATTCATAAAGTTCTCATAATATGAAGCTAAAATTGCATAAATTTAACAAATAAAGTTACTCTAAATTTAAAATACATCAGCTCATTGTGAGGGAGTCAGGTGGGAGGACTGATTGCTTTTCACAAGAAAGACGTGGCAAAGATCAACAACTTAAAATGATAATAAATAAAATAAAAACAAAAGCTTCACAGCTATAGGTTTTAAAGAGGCTGTAAGAGTCCTTCATCAGTGTGGAGAAGCAGCTGCAGCCACAGTGAACTCACAGCTGTTACACTGGATTGTAATGACTGGAGGAAAAGAAGCATATAAAACACACATAACCTAACAAACCAACATGTAACCAGCCATTCTTCAGGCTATTTAATCCTTTAGTCGATCACTTTTCTTGATCGTAAACTTCTGTTAACTTTGAGGCATTTGCTTGGACAAAAGACACAACACGGATATTACTTACTAGCTCTTTCAACCATTTTATAGATAAACAAAGGCTACGTTCACACTGCAGGCGAAAGCGCATCAAATCCGATTTTTTGACCCTATGCGACCCATATCCGATCATGCTATGACAGTGTGAACGGCGCAAATCCGATATTTTCAAATCCGATCTGGGTCACTTTCGTATGTGGTACTGAATCCGATACATATCCGATGTTTTAGAAAGCGACTGCTGTTTGAACGGTCAAGTCGCATTAAATCCGCCTTTTACGTCACCGACACAAGACTGAAGCCAATTATCAGCGCCAGAGAAGCGCCCGAGAAGACATCGCGAACGCTTCCTGGCCATCCAGTGTAGATGTCAGTGAAACTGTTGGGAAGACAACGTAAACATTTTATTTGTACTGTATAATCTGCAGATTCTGACAGAAATCTGCAGCTATCCTTTGAAGCACCGCTCCTCATTATTAGGTTATTTACATTATTATGTAAATAACAAAATAACTTAAAGCAAAAATTGGGAAACGTGAAGACCGAAGTCTTTATATTAAGGGCCATCAGTCAAACAATACTGTTGCTCTGGGTCTAAACAGAGCGCGTTGTGTGTGACATCTTCTTTTGCGCATGCGGGCCGCTTTGAGCGTTCACACTAGAGAGCGTTTGCTGTCGCATTTTATTTGTAGTGTGAACGAGCAGACAAAAAAATCGGATTTGATCAAAAAATCGGAATTGAGCATTAAGACCTGCAGTGTGAACGTAGCCAAAGAGCAATAAGCAAAATTGACACTAATTATATGTCTGTGTCGTAGCATCTGCTCTTAAAGTCAACTACCTTGTGCTTCGTAGGTTTTCAGTGCAGTGCTGAGATCAACTATACTGTAACATTTTTAGTCGTTGAGTTTAATAAACCGGATGTGTTTACAAACCTCATAGCTTTCTCTGTGTCATATAAATTGGATTTTCATTTGTTTTTGGAGGTTTCTTCACACAGTAAGTAATGTATTAAACCATTAGAAAACACACAATACACAATGTATAATTTTTCTTTTTTTACTTTACAAAGGGTTGCAAAGCATTTAGACATTTCAGTTTTTCCCAGCATTAATCAGGTGAGGTTAGTTATTGCCTGTTTTATTGTATTTCATTTCTATTGTGACTCCATCATTTTCTTCTCTAGAAAAAAATCCAGGGACTCATCGAAATAAAAACATAAGCAATGAGTTGTTTTTCTCTGGCTTCCAGTTTGTTCCCAATGGAGATTCAAGTGCTTCTACTAAACACTGTATAAGAGAGAGACATGGAACTCAAAGAATCACTAATAGAAGTTTTTGGGAGGACTCCATAATGGCTCCAGATGGCGGTTGTCCCACCACTGCCTATAAAAAGAGCCAATCATCAGCCAAACTAGTAAAACATGTGGGCTAGTTGTGTTATTGCACTGCTGGTGAACACCATTTACAATAAACATGTAGGTAAATGTACTTACAGTCTTTCTAATGGTAATATCTGTTCAGATCTCCTGTGGGAGGAGCCAAAGTCACTGAACTTTAACACAGCCATGAACGAAGCCGTCATGGTGCGTAGCTTTGCATGTGTAGTACAAATAAAATGTTGACAACCAAAGCTTTTAACCTGATTTCAATTTTAACTTTGGCTTCCAATTATTATTAAAACCAGATGATTAAGATAAAACAAACTACTGCTTTCTAATAATAGTATTATTTTTGCCTTTCAGTACCTTAATTCCCTTTAATTTTACACTTCTCTAAAACTCCAGATTCATTCAGTTCACATTTTTTTATTAATTTATTTTAAATTAACATAATTTCAAATGGACTTTCTTAATTTAAAACTTGATTAAAACTTTGGACGCGGCCAGTACGGCTGCTGAGTGGTGAGCACAGGCAGTATAAAACATGGATCTTAAAGGTGAAGCCAGCGCGGAAGTGCCTTAAACTTAAACCTGCGTTCTTCCTAATAGCCAGTAGGGGCCAACAGCTGGACTTCTAGTTGTATAGAAGTTAATAGGAGAACAACCTTCCAACCTGCCCTCTCTAAACTCTGTCCTGATGAGTTTATGGACTCAGTTACTCATCTAAGGTCACACTGAATAAACATCAAGCCCAATTTGGAAATTTTAGTCATTCTAAGAGTCTCTAGAGGATAATCGTGGGTGCATTCATAGGGAAAAGGTGGGTGTTTTTACAGTGAAATGATGCTCAACTTGAGGCTTCATAGTGGGACTTCACAAACCAGTGGAAGTCTGGTTAGTAACCATGGTGGCTACTTCCATCTTTCATAGTGTCTGTAGTTTTGTCAGATCTGCCAGAGCAAAATGCAAACACAACATGCAAAAGTGTCACAGCGCTGTCTTGCTGTGAGCCAGTGATGCCCAATTCACCACTGTGCTGCTACTGGCCTCCATGCTGGTGGTGGATGCATGTACAAATCCCAGCAGAACTGCTCCATATTTAAGGTGGGCAGGAAAACTAACCAAACATTCCCCCAAACTCTTACCTAGATACAGCGAGGCATTCTCCTTCTTCACATTGTCGTCCAGGTAGGTGGGCCCCAGCGTGTAGATGGGCGTGGACCCCATGCCTACCAGGATCTGAGCGATGACGAACAGCGCCACGTACAGGTTGTGCTCGTTGCCCTCCTGGTCTCTGGGACAGGAAGTGATGTCAACGCGATCCCTGCTGCTGGCATTGCTATTCATGCACAGGCCCTCGTTGGCCGAAGATGAGTTGACCTCCTGGATCTGGTAGGGCGGGGAGATGAAATGAGGTAAGGAGAATAGGGCAGCACCCACAGCGATGAAAATGCCCCCCACTGCCAGCCAGCGAGGCCTCTGGCCCCGCCCACCAAAGTAGCTGATGAAGACGACCACCAGGAGGCTCCCGATGTCGAAACAGCTGACGAGCAGGCCAGACTCTGAGCTCCTCAAGCTGTACCTTTTCTCTATGGTGGTGATGACGCTGCTGAGGTAGCCAGACACCATGAGCGACTGGATGAACGTCAGGTAGCACATGCAGAACAGGAAGCAGCGAGAGTCCTGCAAGATGACGCCAAGGTGCTTCCGACTGGGCAGACGAATCTGAGCTAGCCTGGCTGCGAAAAACCCCGGGGGCTTCCTCCTAGCCATGTGTTTACTCCTTCGGATCTCCGTGTTCTCCATGTACGAGGCCGGCCTATTCAGCGCCGACTTCCCTGGCTTTGGCGGGTAGTTTGCTCTCGTTGGGGACTCGGCCTGGAACGACTCAGTGTTGGGCGGGTTCTGGATGAACTCTGTGCTCTCCTCGGCCGTTATGGACATCCGCACTGAGCTCGCCAGTAAGGTTTTCTCCTGAGGTGCAGCTTCGCTTAAAACAGGCAAACTTTTAGATTTGAAGTTCGTACCTGGATCCTCCACCTCGCTGGAAAACCCGTCCTCCTTCTGAAGGGACTCGGACAGCTCTGCTTCCTCGTGGTCAGCCATCATTTTCAGTCAATTTTCTTTAGAGGTTCAAAAAAAGAAGCCGGCCCAGTCAAAGAACACATTTACAGTTCAGGGGCTGCTGGCCATCACATCTATTATTAATAGGAACACCTACTCCCACAAAGAGACCAAAAAAAGCAACAATGACAAGCACGCTCACAGCCTCTACTGTATCTCTGCTGCAGGACAGCAGACAGCTCTGGGTTTGTTTATCTTGTCATGCACACTTGCCTTCTGCCACCATCCACCATAATCCGGAGGTGGAGACCTCTCAGGCCTCCTCTGCTCGGCCAGCGGAGCTCCGGGGCCAGGGCTCCCTGCAGATGCTTGCTTCAGCAGGACGCTGGTGCTCCTGGGTCGGGAGCAGGGATGACATTAATTCACAGAGCATCCCTGACAGCCCTGCCGATGCAGATCACACAGCCGCAATAATGTCAGTTCTTTCATCAGGTTGCATGATCGTCGTCCCCTGCTCCTCCTAACTCCTGCCCAAGTCAAGGGCAACCCCGACTCCAATGTTATCAGCGCACCAGCTGTCCTCCCAGCGGGCGAGGGGGGCTGGCATTTAGGGATTATCTTTCGGTGCAAATTCCTGGGGAGGAACATGAACGAATAAAAATCAGGGAAACGGGGAGAAGTCGTCGAGGAGAACCAAAGACAGCGAGCAGAGACAGAGCTGCAGCTCACTGCAGTGCTGCTCGGCTTCTGTCTGTCGCTGTTTTGAAAACAACCAGGTTCAATCCAGGAAACACTTCAAAATAAAAGCTACAATTTTAGTGACAAAACTCCCAAGACACACAACATCATAACTGTGAACAGTAATGGCCATTTCGGGCTTTCTAGACTATTTAAGATAATATAGCTTGTAGTAACTTTCCTGACCAATGCATGTTTTCACAATTATCTCCACACGGCTTCAAATATTGCAAAAATAAATAAAACAAAAAACCGGAATCCCATTAACTGTATATTACATCTAAAAAACGTTTTCTGTGTATATTCACGTGCCTCTATATATAATCACTCTTGAACATGTGACTGAATCTGCGATATTTAATATTAAATTCGGTCTGCTTAACACAAACACAATAAATTCCTAACAGCAAAATTAGCAAATTAGAAGAAAGGCCGTCGGAATTATCACAATTTTACTGTTTGTTTGTTTTGTTTTTTGTTTGTTGTTCTTTTTAATGTAGGGTTTACAATATGTGTGGAAGATTAAAATGTTTTATTTTGAAAAGAACCATGGCTCGCGGCCATACAGCTAGCGGCTAACAACCCGTAACAATAACAATATCGACATTGTCTTTCATTAACCTGACATACGGTAAAGATGAGACATCATTCAGACCTTCGTGTCCAACTTCCACTAAATAATACTCAAGGGCTGGTAGTGAAGAGTCATTCAAGCAACGCCCTTGTTAAAATATTCCACATCCAAAATATCATGTAGCAAATTAGTGGAGAAAATACCGGAAAAGTGTTTTCAAAATAAAATAAAAGCGTCAGAAAAAAAGGGGGCGATCGCCCATTAAAGCAAGGGAACTTTGGAGATTCATTTTGAGGAATTGCAGGTATTTAAAATACCAGTTTGGCCAGTAGCCGATGCATCCGAGTTTGTTTATTTGTTTGTTATTTATTCATACTGTAGTGTCAAATCAAAAGATAAGCTAAACTGTTTCAAATCTTTCTTTGTCAAAGATAGCAGATGTAAAGAGCAAAGAACACCCCTCTGTGTGAGAGTAAAAAAGCCAAGCAAAGGTTAGACGAAATTTCGAGTTATTAGGTCAGAGGCTGAAACAAATTTCCACAGGTATCAGTCAGTGAGGCCAATACTTGAGTATGTGACCAATATATAAATATTAAATTAAGCCTTTTTATCTTACATTTTTATCTAGATCCTAAAATAGGCAAAGAGTTTAGATAAAGGTTAAATATAAATTAAAATCTAAAAAAGTGAGAACAATGAGATTGTGAAAAAAATACTATAATACAAAAACACATACTGCATGTTAAATATACAATATACACTTAATGATAAGTATTTATTTATTTAGTTAAAACGTCATGCAGCATAATAAGCATAATGAGGTTTCAAACTTCTCCAAGGGCTAAATGAAGACCTGCAATGCTTTGCCTTAAGTATGTAGATACCAGTGTTGGTCAAGTTACTTGAAAAAAGTAATCAGTAACTAATTACTGATTACTTCCCCCAAAAGTAATCCCGTGACTTTACTGATTACCTATTTTCAAAAGTAATTTGTTACTTAGTTACTTAGTTACTTATTTAAAAAATGATTTACAACCTGAATAGGTAAAGAGCTTTCTATTTTTTCTGCATCATCCATCATATAAAATGTAATCAAATGAAAAAGTCTCTTTTTGAAACTAGTTTTATTAGTTTTAGTCTTTTAACTTTGCGCATGAAGCAAACATTAAATTATATGCAACATTCTCTGACTAGAAGAAATTTGTTTAACATTTAAACCTATTTTCTGCATATTCCAGCATATAAAATAATTTTTTTGTGTGTTTACACTCACTCTTTCAAACAGATGCACGCAGGGGCGATTCTAGGATCAGAGCTTTGGGGGGGCTGAGCACCCAGAGAGCTGCCCAGCCAGCCAAGATACACTTTACAAATCAAATCAAATCACTTTTATTGTCACATCACATGTGCAGGTACATTGGTACAGTACATGTGAGTGAAATTCTTGTGTGCGAGCTTCACAAGCAACAGAGTTGTGCAAAATACAATAATGTAAACAAGCAAAATACAAGAATGGCTACATCTGAAACTAATAAATATATGTACAATATATAATAGTATATGCATTTCTGGATGTGTATACTAAATATTTTTCTACGTGTGTGTGTGTGTGTGTGTGTGTATACACATATTTTACAAATTAAATAGAGTAAACAATAAATAAAATATGTAAAAATATACTCGTCACAATGAGACTTCTTGCCTGTCTCTGTCAGTCCCTGCATCCTCCCTGTCCTCGTCGTCTGTTGTCTTTGTCTCCGTTATCAGTCATCAAAATTTTACCATCTCTGTGCAATTCTGCAAATTTCTTTATTAAATCATAAGATTCTTAAATTCATCAAGTCTCTCTGTGCCTGGGTCCTCATCACAAAACATGACATCACTGTTTTGTACATTTTAACACAATTTAATCCCCACATTTGTGAAAGAAAAGCAAAACACTTTTGTCTGTAACAAAACCATCAAATCAGATAAAGGTTATTTAAATGCTGCAAAAGAAGAATGGATTGGAATAAATAAAAAAAAACACATCCTAACCTTAATTACTGGGTGAGAATAATGAGTGACGCTCATAGTGAGTAAAAAGTAAACTGAGTGCATTTTTTGGACAGCGATTCACTTTTAATGTGCATGTATAATATAATACAGATGCATAAAAAACACTCCCAAAAAAGAATAAATTATTACAAATAAATTATTACAAAATATTAAGAAATATATATATATAAAAATGGAGGTAACTTTGCCTGTGGTAGAATGTATACCATGCATGAAAAAATCTTTACTGCAGATACTAATTTGACCAATTTAATAATACAAATTTTGTGTTAGATTCATAAGATTTATGAGTTTCATGCTTTCATAGTGGTACTTAGGAGAGCTTGACATTTTTTATCAGGTGGTACACACTGTAAAAAGTTTGAGAAAAGCTGCAAAGTGTACGTGTGCTTTTGGAAAACATTTAAAGCTGCAGTGCAGAATCTTTGAAACAAGCTTAAAACATTTTTAGAATATAAACAGAGCATCTGCTTCTCTTTACAGCTCCTCATGTACGTACTGCGGCAGTCATACAGACAACTGGACGGTCCAAAAGTTGGCCTACCTATTACTGGCTGAGGTTTTAGTAGAGTTCTGGCTGAACCACATAAAAATATATAATTAATTTTAATCTCCCCAATCAATTATAACATGATGTTGGAATGTTGTTAAAGAGGGTCAAAACTGTTTCAACCCAGTTTGTTTAGCAGAGTCTGTACAGCAGCTTTAATATGGAGAGAACACAACTTCCAGATTGTGTGAGTAAAATCAGGTTTTTTTTCTCTTTGTCAGTTTAACAGTTTCTGTTGTGCCTGTCACTGCTCCCTGTCTGTTTTCTTACCTGGTTCTTCCCGACCTTGTACTTTCTCCTCACATTCTCCTCTTTCCTCTCTTCCTCTTCGGACTGACAATCATACACAAATAGATTGTATTCAATTAGATGAAAAATTACATTAATATGAAAAAAAAATACTATTAAGATCACTAACAAAAAGTCCTCTCAGTGTACTTTCAACCAAAAGGCAAATAACCAAACCACATGTACATCTAATAAAAGATAAATATTGAAACACTGATCCAACATTATTGATCATTTGATTTTATACTTTTACCTGAATGTGGCTCCTTTTTTTGAAAAAACTTCCTTATATCCATTATGAATCTGGCTGCCTCTCTGTACACACACACACAACAGAAGTTATAAGATTAATGGGCATCCAGTCAGTTAGCTAGTTAGTATCCATTTCAAACAGGACAGTGGTAACAACAATAGGCTACGGAGAACTTTAAGTTTTTGATTTTAAATAGGCTGTATACATTTCAATGGGAGCAACAGGACGGTGAAATGTTGATGATTTTACTACAGAGTAGGACGGATTGTAGGGTAGCAAACATTGTTGGAAAACACGTTTTCAACAATGCAGGTTACCTGGTGTAATGTTTTTCAGCTAAAAAGAAACATGGTCTGACTCCTACCTAACTATATAAAGAGTAACTGAAGGTTAAATGCAGCTAACATGTCCTGTTTTAAGCCAGGCACTCACACCTCCGCAGCCACCATCGCTCTGGCAGCAAGAGCGCTAGAGCCAGAGCAGGGGAGAGGCGAGCTGGAACAAACCACTTTGGGAGGGGGGGTTATCTATACTTCTGTTGTTAAAATGTTACGTCTCAACCAAGTACTGTATGCTTTTTATATTTTTAGTAGTGTGTCACACAAACAGCAAATATTGTCAAAAAAGTAAGAAATCTTTGGGGGTGCTGTGATTCATCCCTAAAAATGGGCTAAAATCGCCCCTGGATGCAAGTAAAACACAGCAGAAAATAAATAAAACCTGTTGCTCTGTTTTCACCTGTATAGCAGGAGTAGGGCAGGCGGAGGTTTGCCCTGGTGCAGGTGTGTCACAGCGGTCAGTGGAAGGATCTGGGAGTTTCACATTCCCGTGGCAGAATACTGTCGGTACTTGCTCGGACGTTTAGGGTTTTTGTCGCTGTAAAAAGAAGTTTTCTTCCCACGCATCCCACGATTACGGAATCAAACGCAGCGTGCTTACAGGAAAGTAACAGTAATCTAATGACCTTTTTTGCAATAGTAATCCCTTACTTTACTCGTTACTTTAAAAAAGCAGTCGGATTACAGTAACAGTAAGACGTTACTTGTACTTGTAATGCATGTTACTTGTAACTCATTACTGCCCATCTCTGGTAGATAAATAAGAAAAAACATATAAAAACCACAAATATTATTACCAGGCATCCAAATTCAAAAACAACCCAAAAAAATGAGATGCAGACACTGAATATGGGAGCAGGCATTTACACCCATTTAGCCAGATGAGACCTTAGAGAAGTCCAACACTGATGTTGTGCAACGACATGTCCACAATCATTGTTTCAGTTCATCGCAAAGATGAAAGATTAAGTTACAATTATCATGCAGATTGTCTTTATGGACCCAGCTTTGCTGGCATGAACACTATCAAGTAAACACTGGATAGGGTCTTCCACAAGAGTTTGCAAAAGACAAGATTATTTAAGTTCAGTAGCATGACGAAACATTTAAAACAAAAACTATAACAACTTAAAAAAATACAATAAAGTAAAATCTTTACTTTTTTTAAATTAAATTTGCCAAAATATGAACCAAAATGAGGAATTTGTACATGTGTTTATTGAGCGTGTAATGTCTACATCTCTCAAACAGTCTAGTGTAGTTTGAAAATTAAACATTCTCAAAATAGAAACTCATAGGAACAAATAGCCAAAACATTTATCTCTGGAGACTAACTGAATTGAAACCCAGCTAAAATAAAACAAAATATTAACAACTAATGAAAAACAAACTTTAAAAAAAAAAAACAGACACCATTTAAAAGTTTACAAAGGGTGTCCATATACTTTTGGGATATGCAGGTAAGAGACCTGAGCTTGAGAAAAGAGCACAAGAACGCAGCGACCTCTGGTGGTTAATATGAAAACGACAAATACAGAAACCTGCATTTAAATTAATCACATTTTTCACATTATTATTAATATTTAACACATTTAAAATTATTTTAAGTAAGTAAGAAAAATGTATTTATATAGCACATCTCACGTAAATATAACAAAGTGCTTCACAAAAAAGCAAGAAAAAAACAACATATCATATTAATCTGAAGCAATAGACACAACATAACATCATTTATTGTTTGGAAATACTAACAACTGTCACTCAAAGTTCTAAAGCCTCACAATGGCTGCCCCATTAATTCGTTGTACAATACATACTTTTTATGATTAAAAAAATCAACATAACGAAGAGCATGAATTGTTCCTAAGAAAAAGGAAAAGGAGTTTTGTTGTGAACTGAGTAAACTTAATTTTCCAAAATATGAACAACTATAAAATGTGCCCGTCTGTGGTAAGAAGCTCGTTCATCTGATAAACAGTTTTGTTGGTCGCTATCGTGCAGGTGTATTGTGTAGCTGCTGCATGTTATGTGTGCTAGGTTTTCATGCTTTGTGGTCATCTCTGTGCAGCTAACCAGTGGATTAACTTTAGTTGTGTCTAGCTGATTTCCCACTACCAGAGGATCTGAACCAAGGAGCCATTACTTTGCAGTTTTGAGGTGGAATCACTTTGCACGTACTGGGTACAAAGTCGCCATCAAACCTCTTCTAGTAGGTACAAGGAACCACAACCAACCACCACCCATCACTGGTCTCACTAATGCCAAGCCGGCATGTCGGCAGAACCAAGAGGAGCATCAACAGTACAGCATTAATGATGAAAACCAGCGCAGAGCTAGGAAGGGAGATGCACCCAGGGCTGTTCAAGGACAGTGGTAGACCACAGAAAATCCTGGAGGGTGAAAATCAGACCTACATCCAGCTGCAGAGCCACACTAACAACAGCAGCAAGCCCCACCGTGAACGTAAACACCAGCAGACCAACAGACACGCCTCCAGCAGGGCAGACACAGACGGAGGCAGCAGTGGCACCAGCAGTAGCAGTAAATATGTAGTCATAAAGGGTTCAGAGTGGGTTTGAAACACAGACAGTAAAATTATTTAGCTCAGTTCAGTTCAGAAAGTATTAGAAATAGTATCCTGAATACCTTTTGTTCTAAGATTTGGTGCCAGGTTTTTATTTACCTTGATTAAGCAGAGACTTTAATGCCCCAATTGAAAGTTCCTTACTTAAACCATCTTAAAGCAGCTTCATTCAAACTGAGCAACCCTTTATGTTACACAATTAAAGTTTTCTTTTTCATTGCCATCCACAGTTAAAGATTTGAATAATTTTGTTCATGCTTAATTCTGCTTAATTTATTTGTTGTTACTGTGACCTCTAGCAGTACATCTGTCCGGATGATTAGGATAACATTGTATTACCGTCATGAACGTTGCTTTTCTGTTTTTTTCTGATAGTAACACATATTTGTTTGCTGTGTTTGGATCCAATGTGATTTCACATGAATATTTTAAGAATTCATCTCTGGTCTTTGGCTCAGATTCTGGTAGTGAACCATCCACATTAGTGATTTTCATTAAGACGTTTGTCCATTTCTCTCTTAGAATTGATTGTAGTATATCTCTGGTCTCTGATAGTGCCCTTTGCACTCTGTCAAAATGCTGCAGACAAAAGGAGTGGATTGTAATAAAGCATATAGACTCACTGAGTGCTGACAGTGAGGGGTAGTTGTGTAGAAACTGGATGTGATCCTCTGTGTGTGAGAGCTGCTTCAGCTCAGCATCTTTCCTCTTCAGCTCAGTGATCTCCTGCTCCAGCTTCTCCTCAAGCTCTTTGACTCGACTCACTTCAGTTTCCTGCTGGGATCTGATCTGCTGCTTCACATCAGAGCTTCTTTTCTGGATGAGATGGATCAGCTCAGTGAAGCTCTTCTCACTGTGCTCCACTGTTTGATCAGCAGACGGATTGATGGCCTCCACCTCCTGTTGAAGCAGCTTCACATCTTTCTCTCTGTCCTGGATTCTCTGCTGGATGTTTTGTCGACTCACCTCCAGCTCTCTCTGCCTCTCAGTCCTTTCTGCTGCAGCTGAGACTGTGTCGTGGCCTTTATGTTCATCCACAGGGCAGAGATAACAGATACTCTGCTGATCAGTACGGCAGAACATCTTCATCACCTCATCATGACGAGAGCAGATGTTCTCTTGGAGCTTCTTGGAGGGCTCCACCAGCTTGTGTTTCTTGAATGTAGGTGAATCATAATGAGGCTGAAGGTGTTTCTCACAGTAAGAAACCAAACACACCAAACAGAACTTCACTGCTTTCATTTTTCTCCCAGTGCAGACATCACAGGCCACGTCTTCAGGTCCAGCATAGCAGTGATCAGCAGGAGCAGCTTGGAGTCCAGTCTTCTTCAGCTCCTCCACTAAATCTGCTAACATGGTGTTTTTCACCAGGACAGGCCTCGCTGTGAAAGTCTGTCTGCACTGAGGGCAGCTGTAGATTTTCTTCACATCCTCCATGTCCCAGTGACTCTTAATACAGTTCATGCAGTAGCTGTGTCCACAGGAAATAGTCCCCGGATCCTTCAGTAGATCCAAACAGATCGAACAAGAGAAGGCGTCCTGATCCAGATCAACTCTTTTTATCGCCATTTCTCTTCAAAGTCCCAGGGTACTTAAGTTTGCTTCAGTTTCCTTCAGCAGAGTTTGAACTGTAAGCCAAAAGCTCGCCATGCTTGTTTGTTAAAGAGCCTGCAGTAAATGACGTTTATCAACTCTGACACTCAGCCGCTTGCACCCATCTAAAACCTGGCAGGTCTGTGAAGCGGCGGGACACTTAAAATATCTGGACAGACTGAAATGTGCCAGTTCGCTTGTTTTGTTTTGTTTTTTAATCAAAGTCTCAGCAGCACTTCTACCGACCTCAACCAATCAAATATTTGGTTTCATTAGATTTGCACTCCTTGAGTCCTTTTTCAGTACGCACATTCTTCATCATTTCTCTGCAGAGTGCATCAGTTCTGTTGTCTGAGTAAGTGTAGTCAAGGCAGCAGATTCAGACACACATACAATCTACTGTATAGATTTATCACAGTAAATATATCAACAAAGGATCCAAAGTGATATCCTGCTCTTGCATCCAGGTGGCCAAAAGAAAACGAAAATTGTCACAAGCTGTGAAGAAAGTATTGGTTAGTCCAGAGGACCCGTCATCAGTAAACTGGTATTGGCTGGGATGTTTCATGTAAAAACCAACTGTTCATCATCTGAAACCTTTACAGACATATATGTATTTGTATATTTGTATAGCGCTTTACTAGTCCCTAAGGACCCCAAAGCGCTTTACACATCCAGTCATCCACCCATTCACGCACACATTTACACACTGGTGATGGCGAGCTACATTTTACCATGTCGGATCATTTTTCACAAACAGCTGCTTAAAAGCAGGATGAACGCCAAGACTTGTGCGCAGTGGAGTAAATCAGTAAATCATTTAAGCTGCTTTCCAGAAGAAGCTTTATTTATTTGTGGGTACAAAGTCACAGTGAACTGAACAAACTATACGTGCTGTTTCCTTTGTCGGTGTGATTGGATGAAATGTGTCACTTAAAGAAGAGTGACTTTCAGTTTTGTTTTTTGTAATTAAGATCCTTCTGATCAGATCCGTGTTACGCACCAGCTGCTCACTGCAAGATATCTTATCAAAAAGTCTGTGAGGAGCGATAGGGGAGAAATTAATTTCAGTGAGAGCTGCAGCGCCGAACACTCAGACTGTTGAGTCTAAATACAACTGGAATGGTTTTATTTTGTTAGAGTCAATGATTAAACATCCAGACAGTCAAATTTTTAAACTTGACATTCAATCTACAAACAGGTCTGAAAAAGTAATTTTTTAAATGTGTTTTTTAAATAATCAGCTATGTCTTCACTCGCTGTCCGTATTTATTTCACTCTTCTTTCTTTGAGTGTGTTGACATTTTAAAAGTATCTTTGTGTAGCAAATGCTTGACACTTTACTGTCTGGTGAGGCTCACACTGGATTTCTGAAATTCAAAGTCCACAGATGTAGGAGTTAGAAATGTGCATACCATGGCACACATCAGATGAATTCCAATGACGTTGTAGGGGCGTAGCGTGGCGTCATGGTAACAATCCGCTACAATTTGTCTCACATGTCGACTCAAAGATTTATTGGCCAGACTTTGACAAACAGCTTTATAAAGCTAACGCAGTTTCCTCTTGCTGCCACTTGGTGCCGCCTGTGCTCTTTGTTTCCCTAAAGCAGCTAACTCATCATGAGGCATGATGGTTTTTGAAAATAGAGCATCACACAGGTGATACTTGTGTGTCAAATATGATGCACTTGGCTTTACAAGGTTTATTATGTCACGTGAGACTGATAGCTGTATGTTCTGTTAGTCTGTAATGATGTTGATGTTGTGAGTTTTATACTTGTGTATATTCCCATATTTTTACTGCAACCCTTTTTACAGACCAGACACTGCAGCTGACAACGAGGCTTTAAAGATCCTCTCTTTAAGAAGCTTCGGTGACCCAGCTGTGGCTTTCTATCAGTAAATATATGAGCACCAGGAAAAATAAATAAGCTCACTTTAAAGCGTTGACCTTTATCCATGGCTTTTCATATGAGTAGAGTCAGTTTCAGCTGTATAAACAGCAGCATGACGACTGCAGCCAATTAACCTGTTTAGCACTGCAAACATATACACTGAACCCGGGAACTCAGGCGTGTTTGGAATCACATTAGAATCTGCTAAAGCCATCTGGATCCTGGATTTGAACCCAGGCTCTTTTGTTAATAGTCTTCATATCCTCCCCCGAGCTTGCAAAGGTTCCTCTGGTAATTATCATTGCTGTTGTTTTTTTCTCACAATATGAAAAAACTAAGTTACTCTGTGAAAAAAATCCTTCAGTTTGGTTCTCAAAGGGCAAAAAGACCATCTGGTTTCAGAAATAAGCCAACAAAAGATACTTTTTCCCATAAAAATAAAACAAAAACTTTATTGTGACTGAGGTTACAATGACTGGAACTATGCGTGGGATGAGTTACCTTTATGTATTATTTGTTTAATCTTAGGAGCAGATAATAACATGTGCATAATGTTAGCGTGAGCTCAGCTCATGTAGCTTAAAAGGTGCAAAACATTCAGTATGTCAGAGTACTAAAGTTTAACGATTTGTTAAAACTACATTTCTAAAACCAGCAAAAACTACAGAGAAACTGTTTTGTGCAGCAGCCACTTTCAGATTTTGTTTGAGTTTTATGAAGTGAACTTCAAACCTTAATGTTGGTCCTTTTATAAGATAGTTTTTTATGTTCCCTTCAACAAATTTCAATAATAACTGCATGAGAAGAGTTTGTTCATGTTTAAGTTTGTGCCAGTGTTGATTGTGTCTGTAAGTAACTAATGAACATGTGCTGATCATCTGCAGTCTTCTGCTGAGTCCTGGGATTCCTCCTGATCGATCAATTCATTACACCTGCACTCCCCAACAGCAGCAGCTTCTCCTGGCAGTATCAGCACTACAGCAACTTCAGTCTGACCACCAGAATAAACCTGATCCAGGAATGCCCCCAGACCAGGACGAGCAGCTCCCAAAGGATCCGCTGCCAAAGTCCTCAGACCAAAAGGTGGTTTGAATGTTGGGGGTGACTGCTGTAAAGTTGAAGCATGAGTGAAGAGGACCAAACACGAAAAGCCAGTTTGAAATAAAAACAATTAAAGCATTTTGGTCACAGTCCTACTTCATACACGCAGACTAGATAAAATAATCAGCTGCAAACCTAAAAATAAACTTCAGTTAAACAAACAACCACGTACCTGATTAACATACAGTTATCCGATGCTGCTGTAGCGCTGAAGCTGTACAGTAGGCCGTTAGGGAGATGTGATATGATCTCCCAGTCTGTCAGCGAGGAAACCACCAGTAAATATTTAATCAGCAATTTAGTTTGCCTTTCAAATATTCATGAAATCTAATCAACTTAATCACGGTGTGATCGTTATTTCACAGCGTAATGAAACTCCCCGCCAGTTCACTCAAGTGTGTCCAGGGTGGCTGACTTCACGCCGTCGCTCTCTAAAACAATAAGACTGACACACACACACACACACACACACACACACACACACACACACACACACACACACACACACACACACACACACACACACACACACCTAAAGATGCAGGCACACATGCATCACATAAAAACAATGTAGCTGACTAGGAAAGGAGAAGGGAAACCAATAATTAAAAAGATTTGCGTGAAAGGAAGCAAAAAAAGGAAAGAAGGAAGGATAGAAGTAAGAAAAGAACAAAGGAAGGCTAAAAGAAGGAAGGATATAAAAACAATGAAAGAAGGAAGAAGACAGAACGTAGGATAAATATAGAGAAGAAAAAATGAAGGACAAAGGCAGAATGATAGATAATTGTAGTTGAGAAAAAAAGGAACAAATAAAGGACAGAAGGAAGGAACAAAGGAAGCTGCATTGTTTTTCAGCTTTGCTGTTATTCTGCCCCCTGGTGGCTAAAAAGCCACATAAAGCAGCTTTAAAGATTATTGGACAGTTTTTGTACAAAAAAGGAAACAAGATGATCAATATGAAAGATATATTCAACTTCACACTAAACAGACTCATAAATTATTGACACCATCAGCCATAACTCTGACTTTACAGGAGCTGTTTCCCATTTTTAGAAATACATTTATTCCCTTTCTTGCCAGGAGTTAGTCAATAAGACTCTTGGGGGGCCGAGCTAGCTGTCCTCCCGCAGAGCTTCCAGTCTTTATGCAAAACTAAATGTGCAGCTGGGAGTTTTGCATACTGATGTGAGCGGGCTATGAGGCTGCTATTTTATTATCCGAGTATTTTCTTTTTTATGTTACAGCTTCTTCAGATGTTTGGTTTGGGCTTTAAGTGGTTTCCAGAAGTTCTCCCCTGAAGGCGAGATGACACCAGAGGCATCAGATGGATTGGAGTACCCTTGGAGCATTAATTTTTACAAAACTTCTCAAGAGTTTATTTTATTCATCTCAAACTGATTAACTTTTCTGCAGTTTTGAGATGAAGTTGAGCACGTACCAGCAGATTTGATCCCATGTTGGTGAGGGAGAGCAGGAAGTAACATTATGAAGTGTATACACACATGCGCCTCAGAGGAGATCCTGCAGCTTTCTGCTGTGTGCAACAAAATATTATAATATGGCAAGAAATGATAACGTGTACAGCTTCTCCTCCTGCCGTTTCCCGACATCCAATCTGATAAGATGAGATAAAGTGGATGTGAGACTTTAGCATCACGCAGACACAACAGAGAGGCTATTACTGCGTCTGATGAAAAGCAGATAGATTGCACTGTATTCCAGCCTGTGGCTAAGATCCCACAGGGCAGGCAGAATGAGGTGCTCTCCAAAATGAGCTCGACATCGCCGCAAATAGGACACAGCAGCTTCCCCGTGTTCTCCTCGGGCCAAGCATTACTCTGTACATTAGATCCATCTCACCGTTCCTCTGTGGAGAGCTGCAGCAGCATGTACGGGATAAACGGAGGTGTATTGTTGTGTCACCTGGAAACATCCCGTGTTATAGAATTAGCATATTTATGCTTCACAGTCCTCAGTTTCTTTGTCTGGCTTTAACCTGGATTTAATTCTCCACAGTTTTAAACGTGCTGTTTAATTCAGTTTAAAGCTTCTTAACGTGGGATTCTTCAGTGACTGTGGTCATTGTTGGATTCTTGTTGCTTCGCATTAATTACTGTTTTATTGATACGCATGCAAACACACACACACACACACACACACACAGTGTAAATGACTAGAAAGGGAGAGGGAATGGGGTTGAAGAAAGGAAGGAAGGAATAATTTTAAAAAGGCAGGAAGGAAGGACAAATGGAAGGAAAACTGATAGAAAGAAAAGAATAGAAAAGCAAGAATAGAAGAAATTATGGACAGAAGTAAGTATGGTAAGAAAGGAACCAACAAAAGAAGGAATGGTACAGAGAAAGGAAGAAGGAAGGAAAATAGAAATAAAACATGAAAAGAATGACGGATGGATAGAAGTCAGGAAAAGAAGAAAGTCAGAAATAAAGGAACCTGAAGGGTATAGAGACGGATTAAGGGGAAAGAAAAGGAAGAAGCAAGACTAAAAAGGAAGGAAGGAAAGAAGAAATTTTATAGAGAAGGAAAAGGAGGAAAGTTAGGAAGACCATAGGGAATGAATGAAGGAAAGGGAAGAAACAAGACAAAAAGGAAGAAAGGAAGAACAATAGAAGGAGAGGTAGAGAAACAAGAAAACAAAGGAAGGCAGAAAGGAAGGATTGAATATGTATTTTATTAAATGTGTAGGAAGCACTCGTGCTGCTCATCACTATGAAACACAACAAGCAGCATTAATGAAGGATAGACTGTATCTAAACAATGGACTTAGCTTCAGGTAATGTAACAAATTACTTTCTATCACTAAAGTTTTTAAATGTTTTTAAACGTTTTTAAACTCTAATGAGTAACATGTAGTTACTGCTGACTGACTCCCTCGGTCTCTCCTTTTTCCTTGTTCTAGAGTCCATTGTTGTTTCCTCCAATTAGAGTCCTAGATGCTGAATTATTATTATTATTATTATTCTCTCTCTTTTTTTTCTTTTAGACAAACCTGCTGCATTCTGCGCTTGAGGCCTTGTTACAGTTTTCATCTTGTTTTCCACCCACCTGCCTTTTCCCTGTCTGAATACCAGGTCTCTTTAGATGAAGCGTGACAACCACTTTGCGTAACGTCAGCCTCGTGGGATCATTAGTGTGAAAATAAACTTTGTTATTTTGTTTTTTTGAGGGGGGTTTCTCTTTATTTCCAGCTCCCGTGTCAGAATGCAGAATTTATAGTCTGCATAAAGACTGGAAGCACTGACAGCTAGGCTGGTCCCCAAAGAGCGTTATATATTATCTCTTGCTAAGAAAGAGAAAATAGCGATGAAAAATGATGAATTGATGACGCTCAAGAAGATCTCACAACCATAAATTTGAATAAATCTTACATATTGATCACCTGATTGTCTTTTGATGTGCAAATCTGGCTGATTTAACCTCTTTAAAACTGTCATGGGTGACACAGAGCATCATTAGCATCCTTTAAAGCAGAAACTTTAAAGAAATGTTATTACAGCTTTCCAGTGCATATGGGATTCATGTCACCCAAACACAAAAGATCCCAGAATGAAGTTACAACTGCAGCTTTACCAGTTCCATGTCTGTCAGATGCTGCGGGTGTCACGGAGTAAAAAGCATTTCAAAATCATGTTCTGGGGCAAAGTCAGTAAAATTTTCCTTTGAAAAAATTCACATTTGACTGTTGACTTTATATCAGCAATGTTTTCATGTGACCACTTAAAATAATTTGAGATTCAGTGTGTTTTGAAGCCTCGGCTTTGGAGTTTGTTGCTTCAAGCCAGAAGTTACCATATTTGGATGAGAAGGTACAAATGTATCCTTTAACAATGCCCATTTTGGTTCGTAAGCTGTATTTTTATATGTGCTTTAAAGTCCTGAGTTTCCTTCCTGGTTAAGGGATTCCCAGGATCGTGCTTAAAGAAGCTGGATCCTGGGAGCTACAGGGAAATTTTAAGCAGACATATCAGTTTGAAAATACAGCATTCATATAGTACATAAATGTATTTGATTGTGAGTCATGTCACGCCAACTTTTCTACATACAAATGAGAGAAACCCTTCACCTCCTCTCCTGCTGAGCCACACTGATGGAAGAAACTGTACACAGTCGTATAAAAACACAGCAGTGGAGCTTCGGGAGTCAGCAAGGTGAACGCTACAGAAAATGTGAATCCCAGAAGCTCGACACGTGGCGATAAACAAAGAGGAAGAACACCTCGTTATAGAGGAGGGCTGAAATGATGAAGTGTGATAGCAGCAAGAGCTAAGTGAAGGTGAGGAGCAAAGCAGAGGGGATGAGTAGATGCAGATGTAACACAGTCAGATTATCAGTTTGAGGAAGTGATTGACGGGGATTATACAGCCATTGTTAATTGAAAGTAAGGTTGAAAGGACAGGAAATGAGAGGGGATTATGCAAATGAGACATTATGATGCAAAAGAAAGCTTCAAATGTCTTTTTAGATTCATCATTATGAATAGAAATGTATTTTTGAGCATATGTTAGTATTACGGGGGGTTTGCAGTGGTTCCCAGTCGCTTCCACTTTGTTATAATGCTGATAACAGCTGATTGTGGAACATTTAGAAGTGAGGAAATTTCATGGCTGGACTTGTTGCACAGGCGGCGTCCTATCACGGTAGCACGCTGTAATCCTCTGAGCTCCTGAGAGCAACCCGTTCTTTCACAAATGTTAGTAGCAGCAGTCTGCATGTCCGGGTGCTTGATTTTATACACCTGAATTTGATGATTTGGACGGGAGTGTGAATACCTTTGGCAGCTTAACGTATTTGATATATCACCGATTTTCACACAGGACGCCTTCCTGCTTAGTGTCACCTCCCGGTCTTGAACCAGAGATTGTTTCACATGTTTGAACGTGAACGTTTTAACACTTGATCCTTTTGCATTTGGGTTTAAAGTGCTCCTCTGAACCTGCTCATAAGAAATACTGACGGTGCTTTGAATTCAGCGTTGGCAGGTCTCCTCTGTCATCTTTTAGACAGCACAGCATTGTAAATACACCTTGTCTCTTTGCCTTTTTTTTCCCTTTAATTAGGATACAGTTTATGCATACATGAAAATCTTTCATCCTCTGCCTCTTTCTCACTTCCATAGGGTTGGTTTTGAAGCCTGCAGACCTCAAGCAGGAGACACAAAGCAGATAAAAGTGTAGCACGACGAGAAGTTCAGTTTGTCTCCTGCTGTTTCTGAAACAACACAGCGGGAGCAGCTCGCTAACCTACATTTCAAGCTTCAATGTTTAATATGTGCGTGTGTGTATTAAGTGTTATATTGTTGCATGCATGCAGTATGCATAACTGTCACATGTGCAGCACAGTCCATATTTATGTGTGGCCACTGCAGAGTTCTGTGCATTGGTCGGTCTGTTTTAGGCATTTCACGTGTGCTCTAGTATTTTATAGTATGTGCTTATTATTAATTTATCATTTTCTATTAATGCTATGATTTCTGGACGTTTTTGAGTAAATGTGGAAAACTATATTACAAATCTGAGACTGATAGTTTATTTAAAGCCAGAGATTTAACATGTTTTAGCGCTGTAACCATGGGACTAGCTCAGAAACTTATAGGGTTTTATGACTTCCTTTCCACCTACATGTAGAAGTGGTTTCATGCAATCCCCCCTAAAAAAAACCCCAATTTGTATCTAAAAGCTGGCACAGTATCAGACCTGGGTCCAGAGCTGGACCACTGACATCAGTGACCGTGGGAGGAGCTACTCCAAGAAATTCACCAGCAATCTGCAGATTTTCATCACTCTTAAATTACTTAAACAAACTGTTTTCACACTCCAGAAAATTTCAGGGGAGTCACGTCTGCATATTTTCAAAAATTGTCCTTTTCTCATGTGAAGCACACAGCAGGAGGGAGTCTGCTTCAGCATTCGTGTAGGAGCCGTCTGGATAGAGCATGTGGGACGCGTAAACTCAAAAGCAGCACATTGTTTGGACTAGATGCTTCTCTCACATTGGCTCAGTCTGACATCACACAGGTTAGAGACGGGCTGATGTCCAGTGTGACCACATTCTCACGTGCACCTCAGTCAGAGGATATGTGGAACAGTTCAGTGCAGCGGAGCAGCTCACGTGATGTTCAGTCCTCAAACAGCTGGTTTCTCTGCTCTCTTTCCACAGTCCAACGACATGCATGATAGGTTAGTTGGTGAAAATGATAACTTTGAATCCTCTGACCACATGCTTCAAATGTTCTTCATCTTTCTCAGAAACACTCATATTCCTCTGTTTTCTCCCCTAACATCAATATTCTGATGCTTATGTTTGGTTGTAGCGTTCAGACACTAGTTCAGCGCCTCTGTATGATTTACAAAATGTGCCACTGACCACCAGCTGATGCCACCAAACTCAGTGATGCTGAATCACAGCCCTTTCTCTCCTCGTGATGTCACAACCTCAGCAGTCGCCCGCCTCCTAAAGCCGGCAGCGGGAGAGAGAAGTCAGTCACTGTGCAGGGCTTCCCGCTGCAGAGCTGCACTCTGATTCATTTGTTTCAGACCAGCAGAAGAGAAGAAGCAGCAGAAGGACAAACTAGTATAATAACAGAGGAAAAAACATCTCCTGAATGGCACCGGGGACCTGCAGCAGAAACATGGAGCGGTCAGACCTGAAAGGAAAGTCTAAGAGGAAGAGGAGGAGGAGGTGCAAAGGCAAAGGTGAGTCGAGCAGCTGTGATTGTTGAACTTTATGTGGGAAACAGATGATGATGCTGACAGTTATTTGTGGCAGTATTCAGTGAGCTTGGGTCTTTTTTACTCCACTGATGAAATTCTTACACAGGCTTTGTTTTGCTTTGCCGTTAGAGTTACTGCATTACATTACATCACTTACAGCGAGTGCATTTAGGAAGAGATGTTTTACAATTTACCACAGTCCACCTGCTGTATTTGTGAGTTCAAGAAGAGCATTTACAGGAAAAATAACGCTTATTGCTTTAGTCTCTGCGTTTGGTGATGATTTCAAGTGTTTGGTTTTCTGCTAACTTGAGCTTTGATTTGGTTTTGTCCTTCGCTGCTTCTCTGTCTTTATGTGGGGATTTTCCTGCTGTCTCTGAGTTTTGAATCCTTGTTTGGGTCTTTCTTTGTTTTTGGATCTTGTTTGTGGGTCCTGGCTTGGTTTTGTTATTTTGGGGGTTAGACTGAATTTTAGCTGCAAGCATAGTTTCAGAAATAGTCAGTTGTTACCACTGACAGACCTTTTGGGCTGTTATGAGACTTTTTTTAGATATGCTAAATCCCACATGAAGGTGTAAATAAAAATGAATTTAAAACTTCTGGACACCTGGATATTAAGAGCATGTTACAGGGATAGAGCTTTCTCGTTGAGGTTTAACCAACCAACAGATGGAAATTAAGTGGCAATCACTGGTAGTGTGGCCGAGTGGTCTAAGGCGCTGGATTAAGGCTCCAGTCTCTTTGGGGGCGTGGGTTCGAATCCCACCACTGCCAGGCTTTAGTGGCTCCACATGTTCTCCTCCCAAGCTGTGAATTGAGTTTTTAAACTGGTTATATACTCTGCAAATTCACATGAGAGGAGTGGGCTTGGCAGCGCCTAGCCAATCTAAAGAAAAAGTTTCTTCTGTCTACAGTAACTGCTCCCTGTGATGGAAATTGCTTCAGTTTGTCAGCACATCAAAGTGAAATGAATTACATTGAACAGGTTTTTGTTCTGTCTTCTAGTAGCTGTAGTTCCAACCGGGTAAAAGAGACTTAAATGCAGACTAGAATCACACATAAAAAAAAATTTTTTTTTACCTGTTGCCAATCGACAACGGTACCATTTGCCCTTCATTCACTGATTTTAGTAAATTATGGCTTAACAATCTATATGATACATACAGCATGCTGTAAGGAAAACAGTGATTTTAAACATAAACGCTGAGCGTACCCTGCTCCTGAAGGTTTAAGTTTGTATTCTTTCAGCTGCGGTGTGTGAATAAAGATTAAATATAAAAGTGATTTCATACCTGTTGATCTTGAATCTGTAAGAAATGACCTTCCTAGTACAGAAAACCCAGGATTGATCCTGAGGTTATCCGGATAAGATCCTGCTTCATAGTACAAACTTCTGCTGTGGCGACGCCTTAAGGTACACAGACTTTACAGGCTCTACATCAAGCGGGTCACTGACAACCTGTTATGAGGAATGGATTTTTGATATATCAATAAAAAAAAGGCTTCGACCCTTTGCTCTGCTAAATTTAATATAGCATATTGCAAAAGCATTGCTATATTATATTTGCATTTGCTTAGAACACAACGAACCCTAGCTCCGACCCTAAGTAGGCCATGGTGACCTGGTGGATGTGAATCAGTCTTATTTTGGGATTGGAAATTGAAGCACTGATGCAGACACTGGGATTGTTTCTCCCTCTGGAGCAGTTAAAAAGTCAGGGATCATCTCATCTTATTAACTGCAGTCAAACTCAAACTTCAGCTCCAAATGATGCTAAAAATGCTTTAGTCATCCCTTATGGTCCAGTTGGTTTCTGAGTGATTAAGTCAGGTTGTGCAAACTTCATTCATCTTTATAGCACTGGAAATCGCTCATTTTTAAGCCCATGAATAAAAACTTTACGTGTTTTTATCACCATAATAATCTGCTCGAAGTGCCAATGCTAACACATATATATAGCAACAAATGCAAATAGCCTGAGCTAAAGAGTATTTATAACTGGTTATTTGTTGGTTGATGTGTTGGATTCGATTTTATTAAGATCCGTGTGTCTGAATGACAGAACAGCGAGATGTCTGCGTGCAGGTTTAATGTTCCTGTCAGACTGATGACAAAAAGTCTTCCTGAGGTTTAGGAGCTGGTGTAAAAAGCCAAATTGGTGCAGTTGCTATTTAACCACATGACATCTGTCAGGACATTCACATATCTGCCCTGGTGATTGTTGTTTTCAGCTTTAATTATTGTCATCTTCAGTTGGTGGATGTCTGCAGAGAGTCTCAGGTGTATGCTCCCTCTCTGTCTCCGTGGTTCAGACTCTCCGGAGAACCCTTTCTGCTTGATTTGTTTGTTTGCTGTTTTTGCTCATTCATTTCTGGGCTCCTATCAGCATTTATAGCTGTAACACAGGATGAGCCAAACCCAACTGCTGATCAAGCAACAAAAATGTGAACAATGCAAGCATGGCAGCGCGGTGCATCTCAGGCATGTTAATCAATTAAAGAAACCAAAGACGAGATCCTCTGCTGCCAAAAATGAAGATGTTACAAGAAGAAGGAGTTACAGGAATACAGCTGCTGCCACGGCCGACTGCGACACCATCACCTCCGTTCATCGCCAAAAAAATAAACACTTGTGAGGAAGGACAGAGGCGATTGTGACTCAAAAGTGTCAATGAAGTTTTCAGTTTGCTCCTTTTTCCACTTTCTGTGTCTAAGAAGTCCCAACGTGCAGCCAAAAATGTTCACTTTCTGTTTACTCGTGTGAGTATAAATGTCTCATCAGGATATGAGCTCCGATAATCATAATTACAGTGGTCTGACCAACAGGTCAGCCTTTTAGGATTACACTGGCATTGTTCTGCACATGATAATCCTCGGTAAATGCTGCAGATTACTCCATGATGGCCACGGTATTAAATCCAGCAGTTATTCAAAGTGCGCAAAGCCTTTTCCACTTTCATTAATGACCCGTTGGCCTTTTTTGTGCATCAAAGCGTGCCCTCTACGAAAAATAAATGCCTCCAGAAAATCATTAGTCCCCACAAATCCCACTATTTTCGGACCACAATGCACTCAGCTAATGCTTCCACAGTATCAAACAATGAGCTGTACTTTAATGCCAGCTGTCATTTTAGAAACAGAAGGTGGGATCTTTTTCTCAAATGGCAAACGTCTCCACTTACAATGGAGCTCTGTGAGCGCGCAGCAGGAGGGAGACTCGTGTCGTGCGACTGCTGTGCGCTCAGTAATTCAGCAGTGTTTGAGTTTCTCTGTTCTTCTGAGACTGTGAGCTTCTAGACAGCTGGATGTATAAGCAAACTGTCACTCAAACAAGTAAATGGGGAGGGGGAAAAGAGGAAGTAATCACATGGGATTACCAAGCCTTTTCTGTTTACAGTGTTACAGAAACATCAAATTTAATTTAAAAGGAAGTTGAATGTTTTTCTGAGATTTCCCGTTTTCCTTTAAGTCTCTTATAAAGTCTTTATGTGCATTAAAAGGTGAGAGAGTTCAGAAAACACTGCTGCTGAACTCTGCGGGAACATTTCCACATGACTGGCAGCAGCGGCTAGTTTGGCAGAGCCGATTCCTCCCTCACAGTTTGGTTCAAACATGAACAGCCATTACGCATCCACCCATATGTGAGGGTTCACGTCGTATTTTTCATCATCGGTTGGGTGAACACGAGGCTCCGCGCACACATTTGTCTACCTTCCAAATCATGGTGAGAGCACAGACCCGTTTCTAAAAGGTGCTGGTGACTGCATGGTGGACTGGATGTTATGTGGACTGTTGTTATGTTCTTAGTCATTAGTTTCAAATCTTACTGAATCCAACATCCATCTATCGATCCGTTATCATCAACTTATCCAAAGCAGCAGGCTAAGGAGGATATTCACGACGCCCTTCTCCCCAGCAGCGCTGAACAGTCCCTCGTGGCCCCCAAGGCCTGATCTCACCAGCAGGTTCTGGGCTTGCTCCAAAGTCTCCTCCCTATTGTTGTGTGCTCAAGAAACCTCTACTGGCTCCTTCCAACATAATGGAGTAGTTCTTCTCTTAGCTCCCACCGGGCGTCCAAGGTCCTCAGCCTGTCAGCCTGCCTCAAAGACAGGGAAACTCATTTCAGGCGCTTGAATTCACAGCTTTGCTCTTTCTGTCATTTTTTAAGATTGGATGAATGTTTGGAGCTCTCTCTTCACCACTTTAGCCGAGTATAATGCCTCCAATACTGCTGATGCACCAATCCACGGGTCCACCTCTCACTCCACCCTCCCATTAGTCATGAATAAGACACTTGAGTATCTTGCTTTGGGTTATTTCTCTTGCCCAACTCATAATGATGATGCTGGATATTTTGTTCCTTTTAAATATTTTTATTTAAATGACTGTTTTAGCCTAATGAGAGTTTTTTATGGTGTGGAGTGAAGGTGGTGGAGAAGATGACCCAATTAGACAAGAAGTGAAAGCCAGGGAGGGATACACAAGGAAAAACAATTCCAAAATAAAACAGGAAGATATGATAAACACAAGGAGAAGACGGAGGGAGGGAAAGGCTGGAGACACACAAAACATTAAAAATCAAAACAGGAATAAAAACTCAATAAATCCCCAAAAAATCCAGGACCATGAAATTTATAAACCGGTGGGTTTCATATCGATGACATCTGTTTTTATTACACAGATCAATAGTCACACATGACACTGAGTACTGCACCGTATTGTAGACCCCTAAATAAAGTCCTGAATCTGCAAATGAGCACAGCCCCGTGGAGCAGCACTCGCAGCTTATTCACCTTTTTCTGTCCCCATAATTAAGGCACTCAGCTGTCACCTATATTCCTCCACAGGGAGGAGGTTATTTTGAGATATTTTACAGCAGTTTCAGGAGATCAAGCGAGGCAAAGTAAAAGTCAGAGAAGAGAAATAATGGGAAGCACAATTATGTCAAAAGATGCGCAAAAAGCTCAGAAACAGAGAGACAA